AAAATTAATAAAAATTATTAAAAATTAATAAAAATTAATAAAAATTAATAAAAATTAATAAAAATTAATAAAAATTAATAAAAATTAATAAAAATTAATAAAAATTAATAAAAATTAATAAAAATTAATAAAAATTAATAAAAATTATTAAAAATTAATAAAAATTAATAAAAATTAATAAAAATTAATAAAAATTAATAAAAATTAATAAAAATTAATAAAAATTAAAAATTAATAAAAATTAATAAAAATTAATAAAAATTAATAAAAATTAATAAAAATTAATAAAAATTAATAAAAATTAATAAAAATTAATAAAAATTAATAAAAATTAATAAAAATTAATAAAAATTAATAAAAATTAATAAAAATTAATAAAAATTAATAAAAATTAATAAAAATTAATAAAAATTAATAAAAATTAATAAAAATTAATAAAAATTAATAAAAATTAATAAAAATTAATAAAAATTAATAAAAATTAATAAAAATTAATAAAAATTAATAAAAATTAATAAAAATTAATAAAAATTAATAAAAATTAATAAAAATTAATAAAAATTAATAAAAATTAATAAAAATTAATAAAAATTAATAAAAATTAATAAAAATTAATAAAAATTAATAAAAATTAATAAAAATTAATAAAAATTAATAAAAATTAATAAAAATTAATAAAAATTAATAAAAATTAATAAAAATTAATAAAAATTAATAAAAATTAATAAAAATTAATAAAAATTAATAAAAATTAATAAAAATTAATAAAAATTAATAAAAATTAATAAAAATTAATAAAAATTAATAAAAATTAATAAAAATTAATAAAATTTAATAAAAATTAATAAAAATTAATAAAAATTAATAAAAATTAATAAAAATTAATAAAAATTAATAAAAATTAATAAAAATTAATAAAAATTAATAAAAATTAATAAAAATTAATAAAAATTAATAAAAATTAATAAAAATTAATAAAAATTAATAAAAATTAATAAAAATTAATAAAAATTAATAAAAATTAATAAAAATTAATAAAAATTAATAAAAATTAATAAAAATTAATAAAAATTAATAAAAATTAATAAAAATTAATAAAAATTAATAAAAATTAATAAAAATTAATAAAAATTAATAAAAATTAATAAAAATTAATAAAAATTAATAAAAATTAATAAAAATTAATAAAAATTAATAAAAATTAATAAAAATTAATAAAAATTAATAAAAATTAATAAAAATTAATAAAAATTAATAAAAATTAATAAAAATTAATAAAAATTAATAAAAATTAATAAAAATTAATAAAAATTAATAAAAATTAATAAAAATTAATAAAAATTAATAAAAATTAATAAAAATTAATAAAAATTAATAAAAATTAATAAAAATTAATAAAAATTAATAAAAATTAATAAAAATTAATAAAAATTAATAAAAATTAATAAAAATTAATAAAAATTAATAAAAATTAATAAAAACTAATAAAAATTAATATAAATTAAATTAATATAAATTAATAAAAATTAATTATTAAAAATTATAAATATTATAAACACGTGCAAAGCCGCGGATAACGGCTACTAATTAAATACATTCATATTTTTTTCAATAGATAATTAAAAAATTGTGAAACTATTCCTTCTGACACATTTTTATTGAGATGTTTTTTAAATATTTGGTTTACTTTATATATTAAATATGTGTTATTGTAAAACGGACGTGCGCATGTGAAGTAAACTTGTTTAAAAAATGGCATATGCGCTATAAACCCCCCTGTTTACCAATATTGGTTATCTCCTTTCTGTTTCTTTTGATGTATTGGCTACCTCTGTTTACTGTCTCTCATCTGATTTTGGTTGGAAAAATAAATATCTATACTGTGGTATCTAATGGTTTAATAATCTTAAAAACTGTATCAAATACTTGGTATTTCACAATTCCAGCTTAAATTTTTGTTAATTGGAAAATAAGCACTATTTTGTTTCCAATAAAAGCGAATACTTATTTTTTTGCCCAATAAAAAATTAGTGGAATATTATATTAGTGCATGGAATTTTGGATCGTTACCTCTATGTAAATAAAGAGATATTAAAAATAAAAACCTCTAAAACATCTTTTACTGAATAATTAAATAAATACACCATCAAAATAATTAACTTTATCCGAATTTTTGAGTGTAATTTTGTGGTTGTTTTAGACTTGTTCAACAATGCTTAATTAACTCTTTTACTTCTTCTACAATTATACGTCCATCTAATTTAAGACTTTAATCTAAAAAGGCTCAAAAATCGGTGAATATTATTTTTACTCCTCTTGGGGAAACTTTGAAGTTAAATTTTTTAATGACTAGAGTAAAAAATTGTGTTCTTTTGTATAATTAATTATTCTAAAGAAAATAATTGAAATGAGCTTGTTTTAAGAGATTATTTTAAGAGCTTATTCATCTTTATTTCAACATAACAAGACTTTATTGTATTCCCGTAGGGTGGTAACAACATTTTCAATTTTTAGTAGAAGAAAACGAATAAATTAAACACTAAGTAGCAATTTTCTATTTTTGTTTGTGTACCTAAAGAAAATAAATTAAAATATCAGCGACTGGATTTGCAAAAAACATTGTTAGAGAAAGTTTTTCACTGCTTTGGCTGTAATTAGAGAGATTCTTTCAAAGAATTATCGCAAATTATTTTCGTTTTTCGTGTAAATATAAAACCAAATAAGAACGAGACAAACGAGTTTGTCGATATCCTTAATGATCATAATAATAAAAGGACTTGGTTTCACGAATTTGAAACAAGAGATTCTTGTGTTTATTTATGTAATAGATGAAGTGCAATTTTCTCTGTAATAAAATAACCGTCAAAATTTATAATGATTGTACACTGTAAAAAGTGTCAGACACTTACCAAAGGTGGTTTTAAAATGATAAATATTTCGTATTCTTTTTAATAGACCATATCCTGTAGAACCATATCCTGTCTAATATCTTTCATACTCAAGACTTTAAAGAAACTGCTAGATAAATATATTAGAGACGGGACATTGGTTATTGGTATTGGTCAATACGCCTATAATGCAAAAAATCAACAAAAACAGCTCTCCGTCAATCAGTAAAATGAGTGTAGAACACACTGGAAAACAAGGAGATAGTATTAGGAGCTTTCTTTGACATTGAGGGAACATTTCTGCCGTCCAAAGCTAAACCCCCGTATTTGCAAAAAACTTAAAATGGAGGAAAATGACAATTAATTTTAAATGTATAATATAGCTTTACCTAATGTCAACAAATTGTAGAAAATGTATTATAGTAGAAGAAATAGACAAACTAAACATATTTTTTTGCTAAAATCTTTTATATTTTATCGTTTTTGTATAATAAAAACCCATACGGTGAATATCGTTACGTAAAATAAGACCTTATACTAAGGAGAATACCGGTGTTTTGATAATACGGTGAATAGCGTTATATTAAATGGGATATATACTAAGGGGAATATCCGTATTTGGAAAAAAAGTTGAAATGCCTGGATATTCATACGGAAATTATGATTTTTATACCATCCGATGTTAAAATAATAATAATATCAAACCAGTTCTAAAGTTTTATTTTAAAAATTGAAACAGTTGTACAAAAATGAATAATTATTTAAAATAGAAACACATTAGGTATACAATATTTTATGGTAAAATATTTTTTTCAGGTAGTTCTAGCCAAAATTGTTTTCTGTTTTCTGGTATAATATCACCAAGATTTTTTAAGATGTTTTCTACTTTGTGTTTTTCAAACCTATTAAGGTGTGGTTTTATTGAAGGGTCTGTCATGTCCGAAATATATTTTTTTTGCAAAAAATCGAGTTTTCTCCAATCGTCATTAATATTTATTTTAAAATACAACTCATACTCGTTACGTTTAACCAATATTTCACTTATTTTAGAAATGTACAGTCTTGGAGTTTCTTTTTTAACTTTAGCTACAGAAGACAAATTTTTCCAGAGTTGAAAATCTTCCAGTGACATGTTTTTAACATTGACCCGTTTTTTGTTGCACATTTCAACGGCATGTATGAAATCTTTAAAATCATAAACCTTCTTTAGCCTTTTTAATGACTCCTCAACTTAATGGTGGAAGGAGTCTGCAGACATAAAAGTATGTCCAGGCTCAAAATATCTAAGAGTGATAGTTTCTGCAGAAATGCCTTGATAATTTATTATGTAAATTAGAAATGAAAACAGAGGCCAATTTTTATTTTGGCTTGAACAATTGTCTAACAATATAAAATGTTTAACATCTCTATTATGGATAAAAAATGCTTTAAAAGCACTTATTATATCTTCCTGATTACGGCCACTTATGGCTTCATGCCATAAAACAGCAAAAGGAAATCTTTCAGAAGTAATTGTGCCATCTGGTACAAAACTTTCATTATATGCGATAAGTCTTTGGGTGAAAATGGCCCTTTTATACATTTCCAATTTAGGAAGCATTATTATTTTTTGCAAATCGACTGACACACATAGGGTATTTTTATCATGAGTCTTTTGCTTATCCAAAGAGTATCGCTCTCGAGAATCTTTTGCTTTTTTGATATGATCATTCCAAGTAGAGCACACCTCGCAACCATCTTTAAGGGAGTCAGTAGTATGTTCAGGATTGTGTAACTGAAATGACTCACAAAGTTCGCATTCTTCGTTGGCCAATTTCGCAAAAGATATATTCTTTGCTTTAACAACTTTCCTATACTTTTCGTAAGAACAAATAAATTCAGGACACTTCTTTTGAAAATCTTGAAACATCAGAGTAATAGTTACATCGCTGGGTAAATATAGACGGTTTGGCGCATGTTCTCGCCTATAATGAGAAATCAAAGAATTAAAAGTTGCTATGTGATTTTCAAATTATGTATTCGATAACTTATTTGGGGGAGGTTTTTGTCCCCGTTTATCACCTTCATGTTGAATTTGTGACTTAGTTTTTGAGGTACACCAGGCTGAGTGTATTATCCAATCATTTGTTTTTTGTAGCCCAGCGTGGTTAAGAAAAACACTTTACAAACCCGCATTTTAATGCCACTTATATCTTTTAAAAAATAAGTATATGTTTTGTTTTTTTTAGATCCTTCGGTTTTTCGACTTGGTATTTTACATTCTGTTGAATTCATTACAAATGATTTCTGTTCTTTTAGGTTTAATTGCCAAAATTCTTTATTTATTCTTTCTCGTTGTTCTTCTGAGAAAGCATTCGTACATTTAAACTTGCAATTTTGATGACAACTAACTACCACTCGATGAAAATTCCTAATTTCTGTTCTAGCTTTTCTATTTAATTTATACTTCTTTCTCTTTCTTTCTGTGCCTTTTTTAGTAAGGGTTCCCAACGTCTCATTCGGATCTATAAACAAAAAATGTCATTTTGCTAGATAACTAAATACAAGAAACTTACCAAGGTTTTCTTGAATCAAATTTTCCGGCATATCTTCCAAAATGTCTTCTTTTATTATTTCATGTTCTTGCTTCTTGCCAGCATCTAATTAATTTAGAAATAATAATCGGAAAAAGTTCAAAAAACAACGTTAATAAAAAAAAAAGTTGTTGACTTACCTAAATCATTAGAATCCTGACTTCCACAATCATTTAAAACCCCAATATCATTATTAAAATGTTCTGTTCCCGTTTTCTCACTCTCCTTCAATGGATCGATTTGTAGCTCTGGATCTATAAAATAATGATCAATAATTAGGTTAGTTGGCCAATAAATTTTTAAATGAAATTTATTCAAGTACCGCTAAATTAAAGGTTCACCCTGTATATGTATAAATTAAAAAAAATAACACGGAAACTTACCATTAGACACAACCATAGGCTGCACCCCATTAATACCACAAATATCGGAAACTTTAATAAATTGTCCATCCTGAGTATTAATTTCACCCACAAATGTATTGTCTTCACAAAAAATCGACAATTTTTGACTTTCGGTTTCGTTTACTATAATTCTATTATCATTATCATGATTTTCTGTTCCCGTTTTATGGCTTGCTTCAAATAAATCACAAACTTGTACCTCTGGCTCAACATGAGTTTCTGGTCCAGTTTTTTTGCTTTTCTCAAATAAATCAAAAATTTCTACCTCTGGATCTACAAAATAAATAAAAAATTTAATATTTGCCAATAATTATTTATACTTGAGTCTAAGATTAAAATATAATTTCCTTAAAGCTTTTTGTATGGTCTAGGAAAATGCATTAAAATATTTTTTTTTTTTATATCGATGCGATGAGATGAGATATAAAGTCATGTTAAGGGTCAAAAAGTTATATTTATTTTATTTTGCTTAAGACTAAAAAATATAAAGAAGCAAAATTACTTTCTTTTATAAAATTAGCTCAGGAATTCGCTTTTAATTTGTATACCACTTTTAGGAATCGCCCTGTATGAATAAATACATTTAAAAAGAAAACTTACCTTCAGTCACAACTACTGTAGGTTGAACTTGGTCATCTCTTATAACACAACTTTCTGAAATGTAAATAAATTGACCGCCCTGCTGGGTCTTATTACCTTCACTAACAAATGTATTTTCTTCGCAAAATGTCGGAGCGTTTCCTAACAACTTGGCTAATGCAACCATTTTTTTGCCTCTTATTACAGACGGATTCATTTTAAATGGGTTCTTTTCAAGAAAAACTCATGCACACACGATAAAGAACAACCAGTAAATCACTTGTTTTTATATACACACTTTTTATTATAATATTGGTTTAAAAAACACATAAACTAACAGTGGTTATAGGGAAACTGATGTTCCTGCTCATGAGACAGTACTTAAATAATTAAAAATTAAACACGTATGACCACGCGCTAAATGGTGTAGACACTATTTGAATTTTACTAAGCAAAATCTACGTATTTGATTGCAAATACGGGTTTCTTCTGTAGTAAAACAAAAAAACGGGAATTTTCCTTATCATTTGAGGTATTTTATGCAAATACGGGTAAAAAAAATATTCTTTTTTTAGGGTTTTTGGGCAAGATACGGGGTTATAACATAGAAAAGATCCGAATTTTGAATATTTTAATTATAATAAACCATATACCTCATATTTCGATTTTTTTTTTCAAATACGGGGATTTAGCTTATGACGGCAGATTTGACAATAACTCCGTCGACTATATCATCAGAACTCTGAAACAAAGTGGAATCGAGAACACATGACTGCCCTGGATTGACTCTATGCTAAGTGGAGACATGCAACCATGAGGGAGAGTCTATAACAGCTCGGGTTGCGAGGGGATGGCCACAGGGAGAAGTACTGTCTTAACTCCTGTAGAACCTGGCCATAATAGGACTCTTATAAAATAATAGACATAAAACCCTGAGATAATCTGATGATGTAGTACCTTGGGGTAATATGGCTCATTTTCAATTTTTTGACCCATAGAACAAAAAACATATTTATTGTAAAAATCATTTTATCATAAAAAAATAACTAGTCAAACAACAAACTCAAACAAAACATTCTAAATGCAACAAGTCACTCTTTTTAAATATAATCTGGTTTTTTAAAAAACTGCAAAAGTGGGCCATATTTTCGCCATTAAGGCTATTAAGGCCCACATTAAAACAGAAGGACGAAAATATGGCACGAGTTTACGGAGTACAGGAAGGACATATAAATGATTCTGTATCGTCTGCTGTCACAGTCCTCATGTTTTCACGTGTGACATTAAGCACTGTCGCATATCCTCAACACGAGCCACGTTACATACTGTACACATTAAGTTGCTGATGTTTAATATGTTTTCCTGCTTAGCCGAGTGCTGGTTCGGTCTAGTGTGAACATCCTGCTTTTGAGCTACTTGTTTGCTTTAATTTCTTAGCTAATAGATTTAGAGAAAGGTCATCGTCGGAAGAATCAGCATCGTAGTTTGGCTCCGGATTAATTTCTCTAAATGTCAACTCCGATGGTGCGAATGCTGTTTCGGGAATTACTGTTGGATCCCTGTGGACCGAAATCCGCTTTGTATATTGGAAATACTCATGCACTGCTTCCAAACTGGACTCAAAACTTTCCCAAAATTTTCTTTTTTTAAATTCCTAATGGCAGACGGATTGTCGTTCCAGTAGCGCAAAAGTTCATTATCCCAATAATGTTCGAAAGCTCTAAAAACTGCTTTGTCTAATGGCTGGAATTCATGGGTGGTGTTTGATGGGAGGCAGTACAAATAAATATCAAACTGGTTTGCTGTGTCCACGACTGCAAGGTCCAGTCATGCTACCTTTTTCCGTCATGCCAACTGTGGAACCAGGTGGAAGATGTTCCTTAAAGACTTCCTTTAATTTAGACCCTTTGAACAGGATCATTGGAGGAACAGCATGAGGCAACGCGCTAACGCAAGCTACTACTGTGCAGTTCTATGCATGCTCATTGGACACTAAATGAACGTAGCGCGATCCTAGCTAACACCGATTGATTGTGATGTAAAGTCAATCGACATCCCATTTCGTCAATATTGAAGATTCGATCTGGGAAATCCTTGATGCCTAATTCAGTTAAAATATTATCTAGTTTAGTAAAGTGATCTCTAGCAATGACTGGGTTTAATTTTTGCGCTCGGGCGGGATTTAAGTTTTGAGACTTTCTCTGTGAGAGGGTTTTATTTCTTCTTAAAAATGATTTGTACCAATCATATCCTGCCATTTCTTTTTCAGTGTTGAATTTATGGGGTATATTGTTATCAATACAATACCGAAAAACAATTCTTCTTAAGGATTTTGATACTAGAGGTACGCCGATCTCTGCTAGTTTTACAATCCGACTGACAAGTTCGCGTTCTTCTTCCTCCGTCAGTATGCTCCTTCTGTCCAATCGTCTTTTCGCACTTCCACTCTTTAAATGATTTCGAAGAGTGGTTCGGGGAATTCCTCATTTTCTTTCAACTTCTCTCTGTGACACACCTTTCTTTAGCAGGTCTAGAGCTTCACTCATCATCTCTTCATTCCAGTTCCAATACCCTCATTTGCCTTACCCATGACCTAAAAAAACATATTAAGAATAGGACGAAAATATGGCCCAAGGCGAAATTATGGCCCGCTATCTGGGCCATATTTCCGCTTGACTCGTTTTGCAATTTTAAGGTTATGTAGTCACATTGGAATTTAAAAGTCCAATAGCGAAATGGAATACAAGTAACTATAAAGTCAACAAGTAAATAAACACCTACCTCTTTTTTTAACGTAACTCGAAATATTCGCGATTAAAAATTGCTTAAATTTATAAAAAAACACCTGTAAAACAGCAAGGCACGTCGAACAGGTTTCTGCGGTAGATGACCACGTGTTGCAACGTCGTAATGGTCTCTGTAGAGATATAACTTTCGAAACTTTCACTATTCGTAAAGAGATGGCGCTACATAACACAAAAGTATCCCGTGGGCCATATTTTCGCCCGGGCCATATTACCCAAATGTACCTTATGGCACAGGGTAAATATAATACTACAGCTATACATACGCAGTTTTGGTGGTGTGATACAAGACGGAGACAAATATTGACATGTCTTGGAATAACGGAGGCAATGATATCAACACCCACTGCAGCATTGGATGCACTAAGGGGATCATCAGAGAGGTTCACAAGAAATACCGGAACCAGAGTAGCAAAAAGTTTAATGTTTCATAAATGAGAATGTCCCAAAACAAACTTTTATAGAAAGATCATGTTTAAAAAGAACATGATACATGACCAGAGAATATGACCAGAAATCATGCTCGGGAAACATATCCCAGGAATTTGCTAGATCCACTGCTTTATTCATAAAACAAAAACAAATTCAATAGTATGTACAAAATATAGAATAAATATAAAAGACCACAAGCTATCAGTACTCGATAAAGAAAGTTAAGACTATTCCCTGTTATAAAGCCGCGCTTTTAAATTTAATCTGTGGACACGCTGTATACATTACAAGGTCTAATTCATTTTCACTTTCATTGCATTTTCAGTAAAAAATGTTAAAATTACTTAAAATATTCGCATTTTATAAGAGCGAGGAGATTAATGGTTTTTTAAGCCACGTATAGTCACAACTAAAAGCTATGCCAATGTCACAGGTGTGTGCTAGATCTTACCAGTGGAGAAAGTAATAAAAAACTTTCGGATAAACTTAAATCTGCACCGAACTTTTCACGACAGAATCCCTTATGTTTTAAAGATGAATCAGCAATATTTACTGAATTTAGTTTTCCATGACAAATGTTATTTCAACTCACTACTAAATTGTGGGGCAAAATCAATAATTCATTAATTTATTAATAGGAACGATGTGGTAAGATATACTGCAAAAACGAATCTTGTGACATTTAATTTTCATTACCATTGTTAATTGGTGTTCATGCATATAAAACTCATTCATTAATTTAATTATTATTATATAGCAACACCAACTATATTGTGAAAATTTTACTTAAAAGAAGAAAAACACTAGAAGTTAAAGAAAAAATAAATACAATTTTAGAAAAAACCTTTGCTGTTTTATATGGAACATTCTGTATATTTTTAGATATTCAGAAAATGTATTCTTTTCCTTTTCTAAAACTGTAATTAATATAGTTAACTAATAACCCGTCTAATAAAAATATTCGTTTAGATTAAACGGCTACATCAGAAAAATTATTAGCCATATAAAAGACCCGGAATAAAAATCTTCGAGGAAACTACAGCTAAAACTGTCATACTTGCAGCCCCGTAGTGTTTTATAGATGAGGCAGCAGAAATTAAATATATCGTTTTAAAGGGAACATCCTAGTAGAATCTGGGTAATATTTCAAGCTAGACATACACTTCATTCAATTACAGTAGTTTTATACCTTATATCTATCATAAAACTTTTAGAAATATCGCGGGCACAAGCTTTAAGAAAAGGGATTGTTGTTGCACTGTTAGGATGCAGATACAAAATTTATCAAGATTAAGGAACAATTTGTTTTAAAACATTATTTTTTAGGTTATCTAAATGTTTTTCTCCAGTTGACATACACACAATCAAACTTATATGGAATCACTGTGTATTTCTGAATAAACTTTTTGTAAGGAAAAAATTTGGTATCCAACTTTTTGTTCAAAACAAACATGATAATAAAAAAGAAACGACTACTGAGATTTATTATCTTGTGAATTTTGTGTTCAGAAGTAAAATCACGATCTTCCGATAATTTTATTTCAGTCCAGAAAAACAACAAAATGCCTTATGTTGGACTTACAGATGTGCAGAGGGGAAGAATTATTGCTCTCATTGAACAATGAGTCACAACAGGACCGCTTTGTGTGCCAAATTGTTAGAAAAAATCTCAGTGTTCTTCATCCAGAGCTACAACGACAAATTATGGAAGCTACAGGTATGAACGTTTTAGTTGAAACCCTAAGAGAAAGACTTCGCGCTCGAGGGTTGTAGAGTAGGAGAGAGTTATGGGTCCCACCGTTATTTAGGCAAAATAAAATTGACCTTCTAAATTGGTGCCTTCAACACCAAAACTGGACAATTGAGAATTGGTAAAATGTTCTTTTTTCGGATGAGACTAGCATTGGTCTAAGATTAAATGACCATTGAATTCGGGTTCTCGAGCTATTCCAAGTTATCAAGGAGGTACTGTAATGTTCTG